AGTATTTTTATTGTTTGAAAATAGTGATGTTATCACTTTCTTTCTGGATTGAGATAAAGCATAACTTAAAAAAAATGTAGAAGGAGGAGCAAACAACAGAACAAGCCAAATAAAGAGCATAGCATCAAGAATTGATCTTATGCTAACTTCTTTTAAAACCTATCATGAGATATCTCTTGATATTTCTACTTGGGATCCAAAGACACTTAGCCTTCAATAATAGCTATAGTAATTGAAGATTAATAGGTAATCATAGGCTTCCATGCTTTTTCTTTTCCTTATTTTTCATTTTTCCTTGAAACTGTTTATTATAATTGCATTGTTCCCATGCTTCTAGCCATCTTGTCTTTCTTGTAATCACTCGACTGCTAAAATAATTGTTGTGTTTAGCATAACTCAGGATAGCATGTAGAAGTTGCTTCTCATTTTAAGGCATGAAAAAAAAATTAATTTCGACCTAAAACCATTCCAGCACTAATTAGTATTTGCTCTTATCTGGGGATTCAGTTTTAATTAGGTAAAATTACATAAAATCATTTCTACATTCTGCATCCTGTCAAGTTTTACACATGTGCCCATTTGAGGAAGGAGATGTGTCAAGGAAGATTGGGATGGTGATTGCCCATTTTTATAAAATAAAAGAAAAAAAGGCCAGAATTAGAACTTCTAATTCATACTTTCCCTTAGTGGACAATACTGTCTGTATAACCAAGAAAGCACAAAATAAAACACTCTAATATGGATAATATGTCCAGGGGTACTGCTGTTGGTCAGTACCCATGAGAATGCAAGCACTTTACAGTATCTCCTTTATATGTACTTTCCAAAATTAGAAAATGCAACCAGGTTTGGTAGTTAGATACTGGGAGATTAAAGAAAAAGAGCTGAGGTTTCCATGCAGGCTATGGTTACCCCAGACTCCTATGAGGCAGGAGCTAACCCACCCAGTTTTGAATAGTTAGCTCTCAGTGCTGCAGAGCGGGAAGTTTGAAAGGCAGCTTGTGCTGCTTAGGGACAGAGAACATAAAACAAAACAAAAAGCAGCTCACCTTGAAAAGCTGGCTACAGTGACATGGCATCCCACGGTCCAGAAACATCACTTAGCACATTAGAAACAAAACTCAAAACAAATAAACAAATAAACTATCTAAACTAAACACCAGAATAGTTGAATTTCCAAGGAAAATAATTATATCAAACTGTGAAACTCGATTAATAGTAAGGCAGATCTGACCTGATCTTAAGATCTGATCTTAATAGAAAAGTCTGACCCTTCCATTTACCAGCTGGGAGAAATGAGGCTTTGTTCCTTCCCCAGCACAGTCAAGATGAGTGGTGATTCTTATTTGAGGAGGTACACTCTTATTAAATGTTCTTAGCATCAGATAGCCCATGCCTTGAATAGAGCATACCTGGCTGTCAAGGACATTCCAATACCACCATTCCTAGATTTACACTTGCATTATCTGAATCTCTGCAATACTTCAATAAATCTTCTGTTTAGGCTGATCAAGCTACTGGCAATCAGTTCCAGAAACAAAGAGAATAAATAAACTAGATATAAGTAGCCCTTAAGGTTTATAACTTATAACCATGTCTTACTAATCATCTGGAGCTGCGTTGCATACATATGTATGGGGGAAGAAGAGAGAAAGGACAAAACGAGTTTATAGAAAGGGAAAAATCTGGATTAAGAGAATCCCCTTAGAGCTGTGACACAGTTGTCTGCAACTGCTCTGCTAGCATCATGTGCCTTCTACTAACAGTTTATTTGGAGGTATGCAAGTGTGACAAAGTTAAGAGCAAAGTGCAGCTACACTCATTAGATCATTCCAGTTTTAGGAGCAGAAAGAATCTTTTAAAAACCTGAAGCTGGGTCCAGATGAAGAAAACAAAAAGGATAAAAGTCTGGTGGATTACATACATAAAACAGAGGGGAAGGAAACCTTCAAGGAACTAACATAAACTCCATATTTTTTTATTTTCAGAATATCAAGAACAAGAAATCTGCCAAGACTCTCTGGCAGGTCTACTGATGTCAGGTTTTTAAAAGAAAAACAAAACAAACAAACAAAAAACAAAAACAAGATCAAGACTACTCCCAGCTATACATTTTAACCTGTTTCTCCTCCAATACAACAAAGGCATTGTTAAGAAGCAGAGTGATCCTTGCATGTACGTTGTCTCTGAAGGAAACACAAAATAGGCTCATGCTAGAAGGATTTTTGTAGGAAAACTCAGGAGATGTCTGAAATTCAAACATCTATAAATGTTATTATAATTTGAGAACTTCAGTGGTTAGAAGTGACTTCTGCAGACTGTCTAGTCCAACCCCCTCCAAAACAGGATCAACTAGAGCAGCTTGTTCAGTACCATGTTAAGGTGGGTTCTGAGTATCTCCAAGGATGAGGACTCCTTAACCCTTCAGAACAACCTGCTCCAGTGTTTGACCATTTTCACAGTAAAAATGTTTGCTCTTGCATTTAAATGGGGTTTTCTGTCCTTCTATATGTGTCCATTACATCTAGTCCTGTCACTGAGCAGCACTGAGAAGACACTGGCTCCATCTTTACTGCCTCCCATCAGTATTTCTACAAACTGGTAAAATCCCCCTGAGCCTTCTTTTTCAAGACTGAACACTCCTATCTCTCAGCTTCTCCTCACATGCAGAGGTTCCAATCCTGTGATCAACTTAATGGCCCTTTGCTGCATTCCCGGTCCAGTACATCCATGACTTTCTTGTTCCGGCAGAGCCCTGAGCCGACAGCATTGCCCCCATGTCTCACCAGGGCTGAATGAACAGCGGGGAATAATCTCTAGCGGTGCTCTGGAGGAGCTGGCAGCAGCCTTTGGAGCACCCCGATGCTGTTGGCCGCCTTTGCCGCAAGGGTGCATCGCTCGCTCGTGTTCAACCCGGCGTCTGCCAGCAGCTCCCGGTCCTTCCTGCAAAACTCCTTCCCGGCCGGCTGGCCCCGGGTGCGTCCTGGGGCACGGGCCAGACGCTGCAGCTCCCTGCACGGGTTGCCATCAGCTGATGTCTCCAGCTTGGTAATGTCTCTGAACGCCAGCACAACCATCCAAGAGATTGACTGTCCGGTTCTGTATCACCCGTAAACTTCCAGAGGGTGCTCCATCCTATCATGCGAGCCTTTAATGCTTGGATGCATTAATGCAGATGTTAGCCTGCAGTGGGCCCAGTACCAATCTCTGGGATACACCACTAATGACTGGTCTCCCACTGGACTTCATGTCATTGATCACAACCCTCTGAGCCCAGTAGCTCAGCTAATTTTCAGTTTCCACTATTTAGTCAGTACTTCATCAGTTTCTCTGTGAAGATACAATGACAAACAGTGCTAAAAAGCTCCCTACGGTCTAGATGAGCAACCACCACTGCCCTCCAGCAGCCAGTAGTCTCATAGCAGAAGGCAACTAGGTTGGTCAAGCATTATTTCCTCTCCACCAATACCTGATGACTATTCCAAATCACTTTTGTCTTTCATATGTTTGGCACTGATTTCCAGAGTTATTTGTTACACCAGTTTTCCAGGGATTTAGATGAGGTTGACTGTAAGTTTTCCAGACCCTCCTTCTTGGCCATCTTGCAGACAGAAGTTACATTTGCTTTCTTTCAGACCTCAGAATTCTCTCCTGAGCACCATGACCTTCCAAAGACAGCCAAGAGTTGCCTAGCAGTGACATTGGCAAGCTCCCTCAGCATTTGTGAATTCATCCCATCAGGGCCTATGTTTGTTTCAGTGCTCCCTAACCTGATCCTTCTGTACCAATAGTAAATCTCCTTTGCTTCAGACCCCACACTGGTCTCCCAACTCTTACATATTTATTATTTATGCCTGAGTTTAATCAGGAGGTGCTTGTTTATCCTTGGAGGCATCCTGTCACCTTTACCTGATTTCTTGCTCATGGGGATGGACCAATGTTGAGCTTGGAGAAGGCAATCCTTGAAAATCAACCAGGTGTTGTTGGCCCTTCTTCTCTCCAGGATCATATCCCAGGGAAGTATTTAAAAAATAAATTTCCTAATTACACAAGTGACATCTGTACAAGATACTTTAGCAGATTCTATATTAAAGGAAATAACAGATACATAGACATGGTGTGTTTAGAAGAAGCCAATATTGCTTTCATTGGAAGAATTGCACTTCACAGTTGTGTTAGATTGTATTAGAATTCTTTAGAAGCACTGACAGCATGTTGATAAGGCACTGATTGATATATTCCCTTAGGGTTTCCATCGGTATTTGAAAAATCCTTCATTACAAACTTTTGAAAGGTACTAAGCAGTCACATTTAGGAGAGAAAACCCGGGGCTGGATAAGTCAAAAGATAGGGGGTAAAACTGTCAGTGCTCTCAGGAGGAGAAAGTGCCCACTAGTGTTTCAGGGGATCCTCTGCTGCCCAGCGCATCCAGAAATGAAGTACAAGAGGGGAAGCCAGAAGATAAATCTGCTGATGGTGAAGTTATTTAATTGCAAACTGGCAGAAAGAAATTCAAGGTATATTGGTGTAAAGTGAGGCAAACAGGCAAACTAACCATCACCACTTAGAACCAAGAATACTGAGCTGTTAGACTTGAAATATTTCTTGATTGGTATTAACTCAGAGCTCATTAGCAATCAGAAAACAAAACAAACCTTTGAAGTTAATAAAAAAGAGACCATCATTCTGGCAGCAGAGTATGGTGTGCCTACATCTTGAGTGCTGTGCAGAGTTCTCTCTCACACTACCAAAAGAGAACTCCATAAAATTGACAGAAACATCTGCAGAGCTGATTATACTTCAAGAGTAGACCTTGGCCATTCAGTATCCTTCTGTCAAGTACAACAGAGAATTTGAAGGGTGCTTGATTTTTCACAGAGGCTCAAGTAGCACTTGTTGATGCTAAAGTATCATTAAGCAAAAAATCAGAGGTTTCTAGCAGTATAAGCAGCAAGCTTTTTAGAGTCGCAAAAAGAATACAACACAAGCATTCAGGAACTACTAAAAAATTAATTCCTTTTTTTATTCTTTTGAAAGCTGCAGAAACATTTTTATTGCTTGATGTTAAGGTGAGGCACGGCAATGGCTTTATCTAAAATTTTATCTTGCATGCCCTTAGCTAATCATTTCAAAAGGTAACTGATTATTATGATAACTTCTATGAAACAACTTCTTTATTAAATAAATTATATAACACTCACACACACAAAAAAAGTTCTGGTTCTGTAGCATAATTATTTTGACAGAGAAACACGGGAAACTTTTTCCAGAATTTACTTCAGGGCTTTTTATTCCAGCCAGCATTTTCAATTTCCACTTAAGGGGGACAGAACACCAAGAAATAGTTAAGCTTAGATATGCTTTATAAACCATTAATTTCAATTACCAACCCAAATACCATAAAGACCTACAGAATCATCTCAAATTCACATAGTTGCTCATTTCCAGGATTTCACGGAGCTAAGAACAGATGTGTGTCAGAAATCAGGAAACTGGCTCAATTCCTATGGGATTTTTTTTTTTTTCCAGAATGGAAGCAAGGGGGAGGAAGGGTAAAGAGGAAAAACAATTTGACTGAAACATCACTCTTTCTCCTGTCTTAAAAAGAAGCAGAGACTTTGAGCAGAAAGGTAATATCAACTACAGCAGGCAGCTCCAGATAAGGGTGCAGATGTACAATTATCTCTTCTGATAAGTCAAGGATCAGAGCTTTTTGTCTTCAGCATTGCCTACAGCACTTCCTCTCCCAGACACACTACAACCAGATTAGGAAAGATAGCAGATAAGACATAAGCACTGCACAGGATAGTTCAATAGTGTGTGCTTTGAGCTCCAGCAGAGGAACATTATTACTGCTGTAAGCAAACTTCCTTTTCAGTACTTCCAGTATCTTGTCCAATACTGAGCCATGCTTTATAAAGCAAAATAATCCTCACTTTGCCATTCTTTTGCCCCCTTTTTTAAAACTCTATTTTGTACAAAATCTTCTTATAATGCTTCAAAATTTACAGTGCTTCAACTAGCAAGCTGCTACTGACACGACTAGTAGCAGGGAAATATTATAAAAAGGATAGGTTGTTAATGCAATTTCTTAGTCTTAGTAGCCTTAGACTGACAAAAAGGTTCTTTAATTCAAGGAATATGTGAGTAGTTCACATTTTCCATATCGGAAGCAGCATACTTACTGGAATTAAGTACATCTAAGAACAAGTTAAATAGACAACTGACACTGTATTTATTTTTCTGCATTCACTGATTTGTAATACATACTCATTCCTTGGTAAATGAACAGGAAAAGCTCAAATGTACTACCCTAGCTGGTGTCAAGAACTACTCATATTTGACATTTTAAAAATACCAAAAGGTATTATGTATAAAGAACCTTTCAAAACCAGACCCTTGTTTGTACTTCACTTACAACCAACAATTTTTCTGCACATCACATTTCCTAGTGAGCAAGGCAGCACACAACACATCAACCAGAAAGAAATCATGTCCACCAACATCTTCATCTTTGCCACTATCCCCTTCCAGGGTAAAACCCCACAGTTTCACTAAATCTCTTTATTTATAATATTCTTATATCAAAACAGTTTGGGGCTTTTTTTTTTTTTCCAAGTATAAAACCAGCAACAATCAGATCACACAGAGGCTAAATTAATTATGCTCAAAGGAAGGGTAGAGGGAAAGAAAAGTCATCAAAAGGAATATAAAGACTCCTGAGTTTTCCTAGAGGCTCTGCTTGAGGGCCCTGAGGCTGGGAAGCAGCTGGTCTGCAGGCAGGCGCTCCTCCACATTGGCCTTCCAGCAGCAGCTGATGATGCTGTGCAGAGTCTGGCCCGCTGGTGACCCGTGGAACTCCTCAGCAGCCAGCGAAGGGCGCAGGTTGTAGGCGACCACAGCGTAGAGCACGTGCTGCCGCTCGCCCAGGTACGGCTGCTCCCGCGTGACCATCTGCCAGAGGGTGATGGCAAATGAGTAGATGTCTGCTTTGGCAGTGACCCTCTCCCCTTTGAGGAGCTCAGGGGCACGGTGTGTGTACGTGCCCCCTTGCTGGCAAACACGGGCGCTCTGGGATGAGCCCATCTCCAGTTTCTGGGAGCACCCAAAGTCTCCAATCTTGCACACTCCTTGCTCAGTGATAAAAACATTTGCAGGCTTCAGGTCCAAGTGCACAATGTCCTGTGAGTGCAGAAAGACTAAGCCTGTCATGATGTCACATGAGTAGCACACAGTCTGTTCCATGCTCAGGGCCTTCCTTCCACATCCTTCTTCATCGTCCTCCCCCTGTCTCCATGCACCCCCAGTGCCATAAATTACATGGTGCAGAGTGATGTTACCCACGTACTCCATGATGATGGTGCCCAGGCTGTTCTCGCTGGCTGGGGCACAGGTGCTGGCAGCCACCACACGTACCACATTATCGTGTTGGAGCTGGGCCACGTTCAGCTCAGCCCAGAAGCTCTGCCGCGATGCCAGCCGGTTCTTGCTGCTCTTCTTCACCTGCTTCACAGCCACCGTTGCACCATGGTAGGTGGCTTTGTAGACAGAGCCAAAGCCTCCAGATCCTAAAGGCTGCAGGAGGCAGAGCTGCTCCCAGTCAATGGAGCACCAGGACAAGCGTGAGGGCAAGCGACGAGTCCTGGCTGAAGAAGCTCCCCCCAGAAAGCTTTTGCTGTCTTTGCCAGGGATAATTAAAGGGCTGCTGCAGGGGCGCAAATTCGCAGAGGGGGAATACTCAAAAGAAAGAAAACAATTAAGTGGAATAGGTGATGGCATAATATGAAGGAGAAAACAACAGGCAGCTACTAAGACAGAAGACTAGAAAGCTTCTCTGACAGAAAGGACTCTAAACCAGCTTCCAAAGCCTTTTATCCTCCCTTCACCATTTTCCCTCCCTCCCCCAAATGAACTGCATCTGTCACAACTGTCAGAACCAAATCAGGTTCACCTGGAAACATTCTTCTCCAGCCCTGAAGCAATTCTCTAGAAAGTCAAGGCTAGAGGATTTAAAGCTAAAAAATTATTAACTCATAAGTATTTCACATCATTTCTAATCTCAAAAGAAAAAGAAATATGTTCTGCCCATTGAATGCCTCTAGCAAAATGCCCCAGGAGTAAATAAAGCAGTGACTGGTGAATGAATTTCACCATGGCTGTAGGCAGGAATGATCAGCATCAGGTGCATTAAACAGCTCAAAGTCTTTCTCAGTGGAAGCAGCTGAAGTGGTGAGTGCTAATATTTGATAATGCTATGGCAGGCATAAATATAAAATTGTGTTTGTAGGACCCTACCACTTAAACATGACTGGGACAAGGGGACTGGTTTGGGTGCTCAGCTTTGCCCATGCAGTACCGTAACCTTAATAACAGCATAAAGACAAATTATTGTATGGTATTGTATCATCCTTTGGATACAGTACCTAGAATTACACATTAGTAATTGGTCATTTCCCCATCACAGCCCACGCAGTACTACAGGTGTGTGTTTTATTTCTGGATCATTCTTAGAAAAATTATTGCTGAATTTACAGAGCTGTTCTGGCAGAAATCAAAGAAACGTGATTTTGTGTTAGTGGTTCATGTGGTTTTTAAAGGGTTCTTAAATTTTGACCCTCTCAAATATTTGCAGTGCTCATGCTAATTGCCATAGTGTTTGGTACCAGCTGTACTGCCAGATAGCAGATCACCCTTATGGGACCTATACAGTTAAGGATTTTTGAATATTCCAGTATCTTTCTGTACATGTTGACAAATATCTTGGAAAACTTGGAGGCTATTTCCTACCTCCTCACTCTTCAGAACCTTCCTCTGGATATCAGATTTTTCAGTACAGATTCTGCCATGGGACTTCAGACTGGCAGTGCCTCTTTCTACAGGGTTTATCTCTGGAGGGATATCTCTGCAGCACTGACTCTGCAGGCAGTCCTGGTGGGTTTTTTAAAATTTTGGTTGTTGGGGTTTTTTTGTTTGTTTTGGTGTGTGTTTGTTTGCTTGTTTGTTTTAATCTGGATGTGTGTAATGTAGATCATAGGCTATGAGAGGGGGTTTCAAGGGTACCCAGACCATGCGCAAGCAGAACTGGAGTGTTTTCCTCCTTGAGATGAGTTCCGTTTTTCACCCTAACACACAAACCTGATGTCCCAAAGTGATCTCCTTACCCTCCCTGAACTTTAAATCAGCTGGACCAGGGGGTCTCAAAGACATCACTCCTCAGTGAATCAGTGACAGAGACCTTCCCCAGTACTGAGATTTAGGAAAATCAGGAGAAATTTGCTGAACCAATTCACAGGGAAACAAACTTGGACCACAGATGAGTGGGAATGGAGAATCTGGGTTATCATCTGGCAGTATGAAACAGGCTGAGGAAGGCCTAGATAAATAGATGCTAATAGACGTGTTAACAAGTGAGAGCCCAAAGACTAAGGGATGCCAAGAGACCTCCAAGGGCCGTGGGTGGGACAGTTCCTGCAGATGGGGCTGCCTGGTAACGCAAGGCTCCTCTTTCCTGGTCCCTCCCAGAAGGGACTGGCAGTGCAAGAGGCCCCTGGACCCGTCAGGTGCTACCACGCCCTGTGAGCTTTCCGCTGGACAGCATGAGCCAGTCAAGTAATATCCTATTGCTACCCCCTCTTCAGGGAATTTCTCTGGCTCATCATCAGTTGCACAGGGATGTTTTGGGGGTGGGGGAGGACCAGAAGATCTTTAGTTTTAAATACACAGTGAAATAAGCCATGGAGACAACAGATATTAACTCTCTTTTCCTAAGCAGCACTTCAATGTTAAGCCTGTATGCAGAAGTCTTCATTTCTAATCTTTGCAGAGAATGTCTTCTAGGCAGCTGAGCTGTGGTGGAAATGAAAAGCTGCAGAAAGTGGATGAAGCTACACAAGAGGGAGAAAATATTTTTATGCCTGTTTTGTGAGTGCTAGTAGGGCTCCAATTCTTCAGTGGGCTTCTGTGCCATAAAGCATAAAAAAGCACCAGAAAGACATTTCTGCTCTGAGTTCTCCAAGCCTGTTTTCACCAGGTTATGGTGGCAGTGAAGTTCAAAGGGAAAGCTGAGTGTGGAGAGGCACAGGTAGAAGGATGTGTGGATGAAAAGACTGAGCATAGGCCTGTTAAGCTGACATCTATAGCAGCCTTTGTGATGATTGTAAATGCTATGAAACAGCAATAAAATCTATGTTCAAAAAATAGACAGGATTAGGGCTGTTCCCAAATTTCTTTGATTGAAATTGCATTCGAAAGGTTGTATCACACCTTCCCTATTATCCATCCCAAACTCCATGTCCACATCTATCAGCTGTCCTTTTGCTACTGTTTCAGATAATTTTCTTGTTACACTTTTCTATCAGAAATCCTTCTATTTTGTCCTGCCATTGTAGACATGGTTGCATTGTTCTTGGGGAATACACTGAATTTTTGACAGGAAGAGGACATTCTTTGGGATGTAGAGTGCCTCAATGTACCTTACTGTCCTGCCTCAATCTTACAGCTGAGGACCAACGGAAGGGAACATTCAGTCTTTCAGTGTGAACATGATTAAATCTGATCTAAATGCAACAAGGTTTTTATTCTTAATGAATATTACTTTGCTGTCATCCATTGGTGATTTGGCCCATTGACTTCCCTGGAGCCACAATCACTGTAGGATGTCCCTGCTAAGTTTCACAGCCCCATTTAGCTCCAGCTCTACTGCAGGCTGGGGAGCCACCTGCAGAGGAGGGCAGGGCTGCTGGGGACATGCTCCCCTTCCCTCCCAGCCACCCTTCCCCAGGGCAACCCTCAGCAGCCTCCAACCACACTGCTCCCATTGCACTGCCTTTTCCATGAGGGGAAAAGGAAGCTGTAGGAGCCAGAAGTCATCAGTACAGAGTGCAATCGGAGCTTTTACAAGTGACAGGAGGGAAGCACACAGTCTGTGCCCCATGGGCTCCAAAATGTCACAGCTACAATAAACTGCAGCAGCAATGAGTTTGTTCCAAGCTTGTTTTATTTCTGCAAGTAAAACATACCTGTGCATCCAGTGCTGCACCAGCTGCCCAACCTAGTCTGTGCTTCTGGATGAGAAGGAATACAGAATCTCGCTTGGTTCCCCCACTCATATTTCACTTGCATATCAGGAGTACAGAAACTCTTTGTTTGCCATTGTCCTTAGTTCCTACTGCTGTTTGTTTGGTCACTGGACAGGAGAAGTCAGCCCTGATACAAAGGGCCTTAAAGGGCTGGCATGGATGTAACCCAGCACAACAGAGGGCACGTACCACACACCAGTTTTGTTTTCATCAAGGTGCATCACTCTTGTGGTTAACAGCCAGTTTTGTCTAAAACAGGAGAAGGACAGGGCTAGGAATTAGAACTGTCTTCAGAGAGTTTAGGAGTGTATAGTAATATACTTCTCCTCAATTATTACCTTATTTGTACATTTAGTGGTTGCACTATGTAACAATCCCTTGAAGTCTTGGCTATCCAGCGGCTTCTAAGAACTGCCTCCCAACACAGAGGTAGCATTGTGTTTCTACTAGGTTACTTTGTAACCTTCCTAAAGGAGCCAAATGTAGCTCTTCAGTACTTAAATTACAGTTCTACTCAAAGCAAGACAGTTCCATTGCCTGTGGTTTAGTGACTTCTGAGAGGTTTTCTTCACTGTTTGTAACCAAGAGTTTTCTTTTTTCTTCTTCTACTGTTAGTCCCTCTGATCTCAGTTTAGGATTTGATGATGAACCTACATTCTCCTCATGCACAGAGTTTCATAGTCCGAGTGTTGCTTCCCGCCACACCTCATAGACATCAAATGATATGCAGAGTTGCCTGAAAGGAATTCTGATATGATCAATTGCACAGGTGTAAGTGATAGCACTGTGTGGAGCCAGTCCCTGCAGAGGCTTGCTCTAAAGATAGGCACTGATTAACAATTTTTTTTTTTTTTCCTACAAGAACAAGCCAGAAAAGAATCCAGTTCATGTTTCAGAGTTTGGCTGTTTTGGTGAGACAAATGACACCTTGGAACCGCAAACAGAAGCAAGTTTTCATTGAAGCAGTGAAAGGTAAACCCAAATGCAAGGAAAAAATACATCTGCAAGAACTTTTATGCTGTTTTACTGCTGAGACATAAAAATAATAAACATCTTAAAAGGTTAAACCCTAGTTTATAAATAATAAGATCGAGTTTCAAAGACACATTGCCAAACAGCTGTTTGATGCTTTTTTCCCTTCACACTAAGATTACTCCATGTGTTCAAGAGCATGAAGCAACAGCTCTCCTTACCTGAACATACTGAGGTTTTAACTGGAGGCACTGGAAAGGCAGGTGAGGTTTCACAGCTAATTTACAAGGGGCTTGGTGACCAAGGGATAACAATTTGAAACCTGCTGCTGTAGATTAATACCAAAATTTCAAGAGCACCTTGTGACAAGCTAAAAGAGTCCAAACTTAGGGATAAGGACAATGAGGTGTAAACTATAGGCTCTCACACTCAGCAGTATTTTCTGGCCATGCAAAGACTGATACCTATACTGGCAGGTTGACTGCTGTCATGTGGCAGGCACCTCATGCAGTATTTTCAGCCAAATTGTCCTAGACTGGTTTTGCAGTCTTGCCCCTGGAGCAAAGCTGACTTTGCTGGGTCACAAGGAGATGCCAAATATAGTGGTGGAATTTAAGACTTATAGCTTAAGGACTGGGAAACAGCTTCAATGCTTAATGAGCAAAATTAATCATGTACAGCAAAGGACCCAGGGGGTAACGTTAGTGCTGTTCAGTGCTGGGAGGCTGCTGCTTTGCCAGGTACACGAATTTAACGCTGCTGCCTAAACTGGTGCCTAAAGGGGCGAGTCTGTCCCAGCAGCTTGCACAATCCCTTTAAAGCAGGTCACACCCGGTTCTGTGATGTAAATTAAATACACTGCCATAGCAAATGTGGTGGCTTCCTGCAAACACCACCTCTTTGGAGGGTTGTAGAGGGGAAGAGGCAAGAGAATCAGCTAAATTTGGTAGCTCGAAGTGATAGCCTGGGTACTCTGGTGGGGCACAGCAAATTCTCAGAGGTTGCCTTAAGTCGAAAGGTTTTAAGCCCAACATTAAAATGGGTCACACAATTCAAGTACATTATTGCAAGGTTTGCAGTGAGTAAGCAGAACTTTCTTGTAAAAATACTGCTGAATTCAGCCCAAGCTGAACAGAGCATATAAACTATGGGGCAACCTGGTAATATTGCACTGGTATAAGAAGTCAAACACTGATAAAATAAAAGGAGACAATTTTCAGGTGGGACTTCAGAAAGTTTGGGACTTTAGTCTGTGTTTATTTGTCATGAATATTTGATATTTGATAGTCTTATGTTACAGCTCAAATGTTGCTCACTTATGGTAAACTCCTAAACCATACAAAGCCTGTATTTTATTTTTATTTTCAATGTAAGTACTTGTGAAGGAACTTTAAGGATTTACCGATGACCATGTGTGTAACAATTTAACATAAAAGCCAGTAATCCAGAGTTGAGCCTAATTTCAGAGGCACAGCCTATAGAGCTTTTCTGCTGAAATTGTATCTAGGACTACACAAGGACAGCTGACAAACACCTTCCTCACTGGAGTCTGTGCACCCTTTAGATAAACTGCTGTCTCTTATAGATTAATCAAGTAGTTGGGAGAAGTTCTGACAGCTTGCCTGGGAAACCACGCACTGTGCTAACTTGGGGATACCTTAATAAACAACATGATTCACTTTGGATTTATAAAATACAAACACTTTACATTTAAACATTTTGGAGGAAACGAAAATGAAAAAAAAACAAACCAAAAACCAACACCTAGAACTAATTGATCAGCTTTCCCAGATTGGATTACTTTCCCATGCATACATGCGTGCACACAAAACATTCACCAGAGTTTAAGCAATGTACTGACTTTTAGGAACTGTGACTCTCCAGGTTTTCTGCACTAATTAACACTCATCAGCAGAGATCTGACATATGAAAGTGACACTAAACCATTCTTCTTTGTACGTGGCAGTTCAGTGCAACAGTGAGAATCAGCCCCACGGCTAAAATATCAAGGGATCAATTCAAATGATTTCCAGTTCAGTCACAGCAGGCACTACCATAGACCTGTTTTCAGGGAGCTCAGCTGGCAGCTGATGTCTCTGAGGCAAACTAGCTTTGTAGTTGGTGATCTTGTGATACAAATATCCCCAAATGAGAAAAGGCTGAGTGATGACAATGAAGAACAGAATTGTTCATTATATTTTTTACAAATACTGATTTCTCTGAAAATGTTCATTACTTGAGGACATGCAGACCAATAAATAAATTTCTAGAAAGATAAAAATACCAGGCAAACCATTACATCTTTATTAGGAGTAGAGAAAGCTCATACTGAATTACCTGGGATATCACACATGAGCAGGAACTTGAAACTTCACATTACTGCTGGGGTCTGTCACTTTCAACACCATTATCTCCAGTGCTGTTCAAAACAGGAATACAGTGTTGCTGTTTATTTGCTAAAGGCCCCAGCTTACACTGATAAGCACCAGTTAATTTTCCAAAATACTTCTCTAACTATTAAATACAGATTAGATTTTGTAACAAGAGTTTACCTTGCTGTCCCACTTGCTGCGTGTTTGTGATCGCCAATACCTGCTGTGCCAATTACAGCAGCTGCCACCTTGGAAAACTTAATTTCTATCTGATTTTATAGAATGTTCTGAACATTCTAAAAAAGCTGGGAAACCAACAGCATGCAGCTCCTCAGTTCTTGCTCATCCAGCAGTAGCTTTGCATCAGTTCTGGATTTCTCTGTAAAAACCCATTTTCATCCTAGGACATGCTTGTATGTAAAAAGGAAAAGAAGGTGTAAAGAATGAGGGAAAGTGAAGAAGAAAAACAGAATAGCGTTCCTCTTCCACTCCTGGAGGGCAGCGAGACCAGCTATAGAGGATACTACAGAACCATTTTTTTGTACTTTCTTATGCAAGTTTTGGAAAGAGACGGTTACAGGAGAGAAAGAAGGGAAGATACCTGTGGCTCTGAATTTAACAAAGAAATTCTGGAGGGACTGCATCAAGAGATCTCTGCATAACACACAGATGTCATCTCTGCAATCCCATTCCAATTATTGCACAGGATGATGGAATTTCTAGAGGCTATCTGCTTGGAAGGACATACTAAATGATTAACAGTGGGTGAGACCAGCTAGGACAGCAACACAGTGAATGGGATGGTTTTCTCTGGAGGGTGTGTGTGTGGGGGGGTCTGTGTTTGTGCATGGTTATAAATTGTTTTGCAGAGTATTTAATATCATACAGCATGTGTTGAGCTTTTGACTCTCACTACAACAAGGCAAACCCTCAACAAGTTAGAAAGCTGTGGCACAAAAGTGATAAGTCAGCTCAGAGGAATGGGGCAAGAATCACAAGAAAGGAAAGATGTCTGCATGTGGATAAGGCAAAAGCCACCAACTCTCTCTAACAATCATTTATCTCCAACTTAGTTACAGCAAGAAACCTAAAAAGCCAAGATTTGAGCAGGAAAGGAGAGGAACTCAAAGGAAAACCCAGACAGTGCTAAAGATATTAACAAAATACGTTCCCCAAAGCAATGAATTGTGAAATGCTAATCTTTTACTTTCCTGGCAGTCTATGCTAGGGAACACCTGTGTGGAATAAGCAGATGTAACTTTCTGCAGTTGTGTGCAGGCTGCTTGTCTGGCTGTGAGGCATCTCTTCCCCAAGCATTAGCCTGGCTTCTTCAGAAGTCAGTGCCACAGCCAGACAGACATCTATGGGACCATTTATGGAATCATCTGAGTTTCTCCTGGAAATACTGCAGAGAGACATCCCATATACTGTGTCCAGCACATGCCACGCCCTTGAAGTTTGTCCCGCAAACTACAACAAACGATGTATGAGACCTGCATTAATCTGAAATTACGGGAAATCACGTATGTGTCCTAAAGTAATGGTCCCACTATGGATTCCTCATACTTACCTTCCAGTGTCTCCAAGTGTTTCGAAGTGCAATTTGATGGCAAATTCAATTGCTTCCTTCAGTTCAGATCTGTCTTGTCACAGACCCAGTAGCATCATCCAATTTGTTCCTTGGTGAAATCATGAAACGCAGGTATTTATGCCTTAAGATTTTTTGAAAAACTGACATTCTACCAGTCATAAATTATAAAGACAGTTATGCCGTTGCAAACTACTCCCAGCAAAATTGGATGGACTCTGTAATTACTCAATTGCAATCCCAAACATGCAGATCAAGATTATCTATTGAAATGCCAGGCATAAATTATTCATTAACTAAAACCATTCTGTAATTTTATTGATATATTTTGTGGAGTTCACATATTTTTGTACAGCAAACATAACACTGTAGGCCACAAGAAGCTGCAGCACTATTGTTTAATAGCAGCAAGGTATATTTTATAATCAGGGTATGTGGACAATAAATAGTCTGTTTCTTTGGATGTGAATGTTTAAAATGAAGTTCTGCTGCAGCTTCATAATGTGATTGCTATTTTACAGAGCTTATACACAAAAATATATATGCAATCTTTTTGTCTATATTTTATACAAATACAACAGTAGTTTGTGAATACATTTTAAAGTACATATACATGATAAGCAACTCAATTTCTCATATCACAGGATAGCAAATTTTAAATGCAAGAAACATATACAAATTCAGTCTGGAATGCAGGGTTTTCTGTGTTCTTTTTTTTTTTCTCTTTTTTTTTTTTGACTCAAAACTTTTATCATTCAAAACATTTTAGCATACAAGTCCAAACAATTTTTCCATTAGCTAAAAATATAATTTCAGCAATCCAAGTCAGGTTTGGGTGTGACATCATTCACCAATATACTCTTCCCAGTTTTTGTCTAAGGCTTTCAGTAACATATAGTATGTTCTTCACTCCACACCATATAAAAAGCCCACATTTAACATTAACTAGCAGTCACCTATTTTTGTGAACAAGAGCTGGGCTTGTCAGCGTTTATATTTGCATGTCCAAAATTTTACTTTTGCAAGTGCATATGAATACATTGTGGTGTTGCACAAAGTTCATTAATGACAAATTAAGTCACAGTATAAAAATATATCATACAACTATAGGTCTAGTATAGTCCTTTCTTTTCTATGGGTAAAAATACATCTGAATGAGACAGGGAGGTTTGTAGCACCATGAGAGGAGTTGTATCCCAAGTTACATTAGCAGCATGATCCAATATAACAATATTGCAGGAGTGTTTCTGAGGAGATAAACATTCACTCTGGTTCAACTGTACCACTGAAGCTTATACTGAAAAGTGTTTACATATGATTAGCAATAGTTCTGTGTCACTTCCAGGGCTAGATAACTGTTATCAAAAGACACTGCCTTCCAACAAAAGTAAGACACCCTTATTGCATAAAAGCTTTGGGACTACCCAAACACATTTTGAACTACTGTGGCATTACTTGTAAGTCGAGCATGATGCTAAGTAAGCTGTGGTTTAAACTGTACACTGGGGGGAAGCAGGATGGGCAGCTAAAGCCTATAATGGTTTACTACATACCAGATAAGTACATATATTTCAGAGGCTTATCTATAGACTGAGAAGAATACACGAGAAGCTGCTAAACCAGTGTATGAGACAGACATAACAAAGGATGCAGGATCCCCATTTACGAATGCAGGATCAGGCCCAAAGTTAACTTCAGACAGCAGCATAGTGATGACAGGATGTGATTAAAAAATCGGTATTGAATACTGCATGTTAAATATTTTTGACAAAGTTTACCATCAAGAACTTCAGAAGACAATTTGCAAATGGTGAGGACAAACTCCTAGTTGTTTTTGACTGGTATTCAAAATGGCAGTAGAAGACAGTGTAGTTTGAAACATGTAAACCTAGAAAAAATCATTGTAAAACCCTTAAGAAAGACACACTGGTTCTGTGCAATATAGCAAATTGATAAGAAAACACTGTAAAAATGTACCTGTTTAAAATTACAATGTCTACCATTTTGTACACAAAGCATTATACCAAAGGCCTACATATATGTAATCTAATGGCACTTGAAACAAATTATAATAAAAGGTTTTATAATAAAAAGCATAACCTGTAAGAAATTTTCTTAAAAGGTTTATGTTTTCTTTTTGAAAGTGCTATATCTTGTAATATGTGTAACATAGAGGTTGACCAAGCTTTATTTTAAAAAATATTGGCCTATAATACAAGTTTAGCTCACTAGGCAAATGATCCTGAAAATATGTACTCTTAACATTCATTATTAGCTTAATAAAGCAATCAGCTCTGGCTCATGTTTCAGTCAGTATATGGTTTTTAAAAACCGCTACTGCCAAATTAACAATAAATCACTCTATTCCACAATTTACTACTAATAAAGCAAAAGCAACAAGTACACAAAAAAATATATATTAAAAAAAAAAAACACAACAACAACAAAACAACCTCACTAGAAGTTTAGAAGTTGCACAAAGAGTGGTGCATGATCAGCCAGCCCTCCCCCCTCCCACCAAGAATCCATGGGAAATCAAGAAAATGGGGTTTAAAAACTAATGGTTTCATAGTGGCCAATATTGACTCTGCCTAAGCGATGCTCAAAAGCACTCTGGTGGTGTTGGTATTGCTTAAAGGGTCAGTCTGCTTCCATGTTACCCTACATCCTAGTTCAGCTGCAAACACTCTGAGTGCAGCCACACACTGAAACCCTGACTGAATGAGGTTCAATATCTTGTCTGAGGTCTCTATTTCTCAAGTGAAATGTATATCTAACTCCAAGTGAAATGTCAATCCCTTTTCAGGAAGCTAAGGCACAAACAAAGTAGTAAGGGTTCTGGCTACGCACTAAGAAATGGGTGTTGGCAAAGTCTCTGGGGGTTTTGGTTTTTATGAAGTCTTTCAGCAGCTGGGGCCGAAAACAAGTGGCTCCAGACTGGAAATTTGTGTGCCAGAGGCTGCCCACGGAGGGCAGTGCTGCCCGGTCACACTGCTGGGCCAGCTGCAAGATGCCAAGCACTCTCAGCTTTCCTCTGCTGCAGGGAAAGTTGCAGATGCTCGGCTCCACACAGGACATAACCCACTGCAGGAATTAAGTCCATTTATCTTCATCTCAGATTAAAAGGATGGAGAATAAACCCAAGTTTTTCTTAGATGCGTTACGGTCGTTCATGTAAACTAGAGCTACATTCGGCTGCATTCAGCTTGTGCTCTGTTCATCTGTGTTTTTCTTTCCTTTAGAAAAGTGAATGGAAAAAAAGCAATATTGAACAAATCATTCAACTGAAGATGTAAGCAAGTGAGCAACCTGTTTCACAGAAACCAGAGGAAGCAGTCGTGAAGCAGAGCTAAACGCCCACTTTGAGATAACATGCTCCTAAACCCAAAATCTAGGAGTTATTTGCAGAATTTCAAAAGGTATTTTCCTTATTAACACATCCTTATTGTAATGCCTTTGGAACACAAACACATTTATAAAATTGTTATTTTTCAGTAATAAAATTTAAATACACATATGTATAAAATAGTAAAACTACACCTGCATATTGCTCCTAGCATTAAAAAAACCAGTAGGAGCTACTGATAAAACATCCGGAGCATGAGCTCCTTAAATGGGAGCAACTTTTGTTTCTGTGAAGTATATTTAGTTTAACCACTTAAAACCTTATATCAATTCTCATTACTGTTTGAGAGATACTAATGTACTCAATTTCCATTTTTTAATTCCTTGTACAAAAATGACAAGGAAAATAATGTTATTGTTGAATTACAGCAAATCTAGTTTGCTTTTATGCATCACAGGGTTGGTTGTTTTTTTAGGGTTTTTTTTTCCTCTTTTGGTTATTAGGGGTTGGGGAATAGAATATATATTGCATTAGGTAAAAGTGGTGTAAGCAATATGCTTTTACTTCACTCCTAAGAGTCCTGTCTTTAAATCTTGGCAATGGGCAAAAAGTCCCTAACCAAGTACCCAGGTGTAGAAAGTGTGATTAACAGCTAACTTGTTGCTTAGGAGGACATAACACACCATGTAACACAACTGAAAAGATCACTCCAATAAAAACAAAACAAAACAAAACAAACTGGTAGTTGCAAATTTACATTCACTTTCTGACTGCACACTAGTTTTGAACTGAAAATAGGTACACACTTTCTGGCTGGACTTGATCCACCCCTTGGTGGTGGCAGCGGGGAGAAGACTGACGCCTACAAACGTGAACACACTACTGGAAGGTTCCTATGCAGTACTCTTTCTATGCTACTAGAGAGAAAAAACAGCAAGGTAAGAATTAAAACAAAAACTGCGACAAAATACTCTGCATTACTACATTACACTTTAATATTTCAAGATCAGCCATTAATTTTGCCTGTTTCCCTATACCAGAGTCACGAAAGCAGAACAACAGTTTCAAATTGAACTTGAAACATCTGTCATTTAGGAAAGCAGAGATTCTCTGTCAAAATTCCGTTCAGCCCTAATTTTAAAGAATTATACTAACTTTTTTTTCTGTTATCCATAACAGGCCACCAAAATTTAACCCAGAAAATGGCAAAATTCTTAACAACTTTTATAATGACTTTAATACAAGTCAAAATGCTATATATATGTACATGTGTATATATGGACTTCTATATATACACACACAAGTTTTCAGAAAAATCTGAATTCTATATTTATTTAAAAAATTTAGATTTGTCATTAGAGAACAAGTCAAATGTGTCACTATTTGGGAAGAGGATTTGTTTGGAAACAGACTGGAGAATTTTTTCCCCAAATCTCATGAATTCTTGGGATACATATTTTAAATTGATTATTTGCAAATAGTAAAATATATTAAAAGGCAAAAGTGGCAATTCTACCACTGACATCAATAAAACAGAATAGCTGGTATGGTTTAAAAAGTTTTAGAAATGGGATGAGTGTTGTGAGTTTGCTTGGGATGACTCTCTACTGAACATTTTAAATGTGTAAATTGGCAGTGAAAATGAAAACAATACAATGAGACTGTTTAAAAAAAAACAACAAACCAAAGTAAACACAGCTGAGAATAAACACTTTCAAAACATTTTTAAAAAGTTAATTTAAATTTCTTACTGGCTTCATGAGATTGGTACTGTACAAAAGCAGAGAATTTATAATGTCTTATAGTAGGCACTAAGTTAAAAATGGTCACCTAAGGCATTTCTACAAATAGACAGTTAACAAGCCAACTTTGTACATCCTATTGGAAAGCTTGATGAAATCGTGGTAGGGTGGTGGTTGTGCTTAGACTGCTTGTGAAAGCTGCTGACAATGAGTGCAGAGACCCAAGACCTATACTATTGCTAGGATCTTGTGGATCCTGGGTTTGTGGTGGAAGCTGAGTCATAGAAGAATGTGCCTCCTCTTGCGTGTAACTCATCCCCAGGTTTCCCACTGAAACAGAAGGATTATAGGGAGGGCCATTGACAGGTATGAAGTTGAACAGCTGAGAAAAGTCCAATGATGGGGCATTTAGAGGTTCGCTAATAGGAACGGAGCCCTTGGAAAGGGAAACTTCCCCAGACCCATCATCTAGTGGCCCTACTTGTGGATCCAGCCCTAGTTTTGATGAAGATGCTTGAGAATCCTGGGATGAAGAAGGCATACCACTTTGCAACTCCATTAAGTAACTTTCAATTCCCCCTTTCAATGGCTGTTCTTTTTCAGGCATAGAAATTGAGTATGAGGTAGTACCGAGTGGGTATTTCAATGATAGCTGGTGAGAAGGGTGGACAGACTCCATATCTATTGGACAAGGCATTCCCAATGGTAACGATGTGGCAACCATTTGGTGTGCAGATGCAGAACTCTGCATGGACTGAATCTGAGTGTTGTAGAGATTTAATTGCAAAGTGTTTGTAAATGGCTTTGATGTCAGTTCACTGGAAGGTAAAGACATCACTGGAAGCAGCTCATCCTTAATAGGCACAGAAACATTGCAGGTAAAGGGATCTAGAAGGTCCATTGGCTCTGTTTTGACCTTCAGAAGTTCTTGGTTGTGACTTTTCTTCATGTGGCGCGTGAGGTGATCCTTCCGCCCAAATCTCTGTGCACAGTACTGACAGAGGAAGTCCTTTCTTCCAGTGTGCACTACCATGTGTCTGCGGACATCCTTTCGGGTGTAGAACCGACGATCACAGTGTTCACACTGGTGCTTTTTCTCCTTCACTCCACCCGACGACTTGCCTGCATGAGTTTTTAGGTGCTCCAGCAGCACTCCCGTGCTTTCAAAAGTCTGCAAACATACCTTACAGGTGAGGTCACCACTTGTTGCAGCATGCAAAGCCAGGTGACGTTTGAACCCAAGCTTGGTATTGTAGTTCTTTCCACATTCTTCACACTTAAAGGCCTCTTTGTTGGGATTGTGTGTATGTAGGTGATTCTTTAGGTGATCTTTTCGGTGAAACATTTTCTCACAATAATTACACTTGTGGGTTTTCTCAGGAGAATGAGTAGCCATATGCCTTTAAACACAGATATATTCTGTAAGTAATTATTTTGATCAAAAAACACACGTGCTCATTTTTTAATGGCAGCTAAAGACTACACTAAGGGCTGCTTTGCAACAGAACCTTTTAACTGAAAGCATGACACTACAAAGACAGTTTGACAAATTTAAATATAGCAAGACATGAGCCATTTCTCTTAAATTGACACTTTAGTTTTGGTGGGTCTTAGCTACGGTAACAGGGGTATATGGGCAAGTATGAAAGTACTTGTGTAAAAGTCCATAGCCAAAGAACTTTCAGTCCATACTCTTTTTCTTGTGACAATTCCTTATACAAATGAAAATTCTACGCTCATTAAAAACAAAACAAAATGAAACAAAAACAAAAACAAACAAACAGAAAACAAAAGCAGAAAACAAATTAAGAAACAAAATCAAAGACATTAGCTTGCAAACTTAGGTAATTTAGAATTCTAGAAACAATCCAATAGCTACTTTAATTAACACATCCTCTCTGCAATCAGCTGAAGGAGTACAGAAATATATACTTTTACACGGCTTAACACGGCCAACATAAAATAGATAATATAATCTGAAAGATAAATAGAGTTTAATACCTTAGTAATTTGTACTTAGAAACAAAGGCCTTGGTGCAGTCTTGTTGTGTGCACTTGTAGGGCCTCTCTCCTGTGTGAGAGTATGAGTGAACCTTTAATTTCTCAACACTGTTAAAGGCCTTGTCACACAGTTGGCAAGGAAAGTTTTTTCTTGGTTTGGTTTCACCACGCTTACGTTTCCCTGAAGGGACTTTCTGGGTATCTCTTACTTCTGACAAATCACCAGGAATGACAGTGGCCATCGCAGCCTAAACCAGGCCTTCTTGTTGGACACTTGGGAATTGCCCAACTCCACTAAATGATTTAGCTTTAGATGGCTTCTCAAGTTTCATGTGGTCGTAAAAGAAAGCAAAAGGGGACTGGAAAAAAAAAATAAGAAACAACTAGTTTGTAACTAAACTTAGATTTTGAAGTTTACTTGCTATGTGATGCTTCTGAATAAAACTTAAAAATAAAGTTAGGTTCAGCTGGTCTAATGTAATACCTACAGGTTTCTTTATACTATTTGCTGCAACTCTTAAAATGCATTGCTCAGGATGAACAGATCCACATATGCCCTGAAATCACACCTCACAACTTTCCCCTCAAGCACTGATGTAGAACAGAGTTTCTGTCAGATTAAGGGAGGCTTCAGGCAAAGAGTCTACCTACCCAGGCACCTTTTGGCAGCTTCCGATTTCAAAGGAATTACAGCCGCGCCTGTGGTGTTTGCACAGACATTCCCCGCCTCCCCCCCCCCCCCCCCATACATACATACACACAACTATCAAAGCCTATAAGCCTCAAAATGTTTGAAAACCTGCACAAAACACAGCAGTACCCATGCAGACACTATGGAGGGCAAAGCTCATGTTCCCTTTTGGATATATCTCCCTCCCCATGATTACTGCGCATCTATGCATCTGCTCTGGCAAAATGCATGCACTGCCAACGATGCCTAACACAGGTGAAATTCTCCTCTAAACTCACCCTCTGCTAACAGAGTCTTGATCTATGAATGGCAGAAGTCCCACGGATTAGGGTTAGATTAGACAGGTCAGGGTTTTATCAACCCAGTCCCGGAGACCCCCAGCCTCCTCATGCTATCCTGTGAGACATGAAGGCTTGTAAGCATTCAGACTCAGGCTAGCTCAGGATGGAGGCTCCAAGTCCTGCCCCTGTGGCATAGCAAAATGTCAACTAAACCTGAGGCTTTCATTGTAAGGATGTGCGTGACGTGATCCTTGTGTCTCACTCGTGGTTGCGAAGTTTTAAATTCGTCATCTGGTATCATATAGTGGCAACTGGGCACCTGCCACCACAGGGCACTCAACAGCCCTCCTTTGTCAGGGGTTGCTGACAGCTTCGCTTCATCCTTGGAGCACAAGTGCTACTATAGATACCAAAATCCTGTGCTACCCAGAGTGGGAAGGGTGGAGCGTGACATCTGCAGCAGCAAGGACAAAGAGGACAGCAGGGCAGTACTCAATGCAAGCATTTTTGAGGGCTGGAAAGCCCCAAAATTTAGCCTTTCTCCCTTGAAAGTGCCACCATGCACCCCCAGCCCCGGTGTCACGGCTGGCAGCTGCTGTCCCCTCTGGTCTCTGCCGGGGCAGCTGTGCAGGGGCGGCCGGGCCGGGCGGCACCGGGGCCGGGCAGCGCAGGGCTCGGCGTGCGGGCAGCGCCACCGCCCTGGCAGCAGGGCCGGGGAGCCGCAGCTGCTGGGACAGGTGGAGCCGGGCAGCTGGAGCCAGGCAGGCACCACCAGGCTGCAGCTGCTCCGGCCCAACGCCGCCTCCCTGGAAAACAAACCGGGCTCTTCCCTGCTGGCAGGGAGGGAGGCCGGGTAGCTGGGAGGGAGCCCCGGCCTGAGCTGTCCTCTCAGCCCTGCTGAGGCTCAGCAGAGATGGAGGGAGCCAACTGCTCCAGAGAGGAGCGGAGAGCAGCACCCAGGTGTGCCGGGGGGATAACAACACGGTCCTTGCAAGTGCCCTAGCATGGTCCTGGAAGAAAGCGAGAAGGAAGGAAATCCTGTGATTTCCTCTATGCATGGCAGGACAAGAGAAGCAGGGAGAGGAAGAAGGGGAAATGCCTCTTCAATGTCTGCATTATAAGAAATCCTCAAACCTCCATTTGAAATCTTCCATTTGAAACGTGTACACAGAGTATGCCTTTGTCTAAGCCTTTTCCTCCCTCCCCATTTTCCCTTGTCTTTAGAGGAGGAGAGAAGTACTGGCACACCAAGATGGAAATCTGCTTCCTTTCAACCCTAAAGCCCTTGAATGACAGGTTAAACTATGCTACCTCTTTTAAGCAAGCAGTTTTGCAAGACCACCTTATTCCCTTAAATTTCATAAGGAAACACTAACTTATTTTTAAGATACCTAGTATTTCTTTAAGGACTCTCTTGATTTCAGATTTGTCTCAAACTCATTCCCATTCATGGGATGAAGCCTGGAGACATCAGTTCCATGAGTGGGAAAATGCACAGGTCTTCAAAGTATCAGCTTAATTTTATTTTCTGTCTCATAATCAACAATCTAGTTCACTAATTCTAGTTTATAAAGAACAGTTGTTTGGAGACCTAAGAGCAATACTTTTTTTAAATAAAAGTAAATGAAGACCAATTACAAAGACTTCAATGAAGCCACCAATGTAATCAAAAGGAGAGTCTGATTCACATCATAGTTGTGATATATCTGTTGATTGAAAGTTTTTGGTTTTTTTTAATATAGGCTTTAACCAGAATCCGGTAATAAAATTAATTTTGTTCTTCTTTTAATGAACACATTGGTTTTCAGTGCATATTGGCCTGAATGTAGAATGAAATTTTATTTTAGTCTAATCTGACAAATGAAGTTCAGGGCGGAAAAGAAAATCCAACCTGACCTACACTTGCACAGGGTACTTTTATACCACAGAGGCATGTGCATGAGACCCATCACACAGAGCTGAGAGCACAGCAGTCACAGCCCTCACCACATGGCCAGGGCACACTTTCAGCCCCAATGGGGTACAAGGTATCCAGCCCCTCTGCCCCCCCTGCCAAATCCATACCTAGCTTTAGACAAGGAAGTCAGGATTAGCAGAAAAGGCAAGTGAACAGTCTCCAAAGCCTGCTGCATGACAGTGGAGCTACTTTGGCTCAGCAGCAAGAGGAGTCTGTGCCCAGACAGTGACAAGAGAAATGGGGACAGCAGGAAAGATACACGGAAAGAGGGTGAGCCACCACAGGGAGGGAGAGTGGACAGAACGGCGATGGGGGTGTAGGGCTAGGGAGGCTCAGGGTGTGCTGCACAGGCATTGGGAATATCTAAGGACATGATGATAGGGGTGAGCTGGTAACACTGGGAAGGAACTGAACATCAAGCTGGGGAGATGCAGGATATGAGGCCATGCAGAAGGGTGAACCTGATGTGATGTCAATAGCAGCCTTCGTTATGAAACAACATATTAAGCTTAACAAATTAACATCTGACAACTTCTCACTCCTTTTCTCAATGCAAAGATCACATCTCAGGCTGGAAACCATCCTATATTCAGGCCAATATAAGATCACTGTTTTCTTCTCCAAAATTTCAGGTAACCTAGCTGCTGCGCAAGTTAGAACATTCACAGGGATGAAAAATTTGGGTTTTGTTCCTCTACGATCAAAACTAATTAAGCTGACTTTGAACTGTGTTCAAGTGTCCTTAAAAATGCATCATTAGAACAAATATAGTGTGATCCAATCTTTGGCAATGACAGAGTTTTATTAAAAAACACGTATGCACTATTATCTCAGTATCACTTCTCAGTAGGTGAGGCAATTAAGAATGCCAGTACTGATCTCTGAATAGCAAATAACCACTTTTTTTCATTTTTTTTGGGTGTGGATATATAGACTGAGCAATGGAGATAAAATTTTAAAAAAACACTGATCCTCAAATATTAAATTTTCCAAAGACCAGCTGAAAGCATTTTATGAGTAATATTGCCTGCTTGTGTCTCAACATATTATCACTTAAAATCCACATTCTTACTGGTGCTTTCACAACTGCAGGATGAATGATTATATGTAGTATCAAATATAACAAACACATTACACAAAAGCTTATATATAATACTATTTTTAAAGAAGCATATATTTAAAGAGGATTAAAGCAACCTCTGTTCAATGCACACCTGATGTTTGCCCACTAAAGTCCTCAGATTTTGGTCTTAACCAGTTCCGCTGACTCTTCTTGGAGGAAACCAGAATCCAGTACTTCCCATTTTTACTGGTCTGAAAAACAAAAGGAACAATGGACTAGACTCCAGCAAAACCAGTGCATTCATAAAGGCTGTGATGCAGCAAGACCAGGGATTGGAAAGAATCGGAAAGGAAAAGTTAAAAGGGACAGATCCAACCCATGCACAGAACATTATATACTGTTAATTATAAACTGTAGGAATCATTCTTGCATTATCAGTAGCAATTATGCACTTCAATTTGCATTATACTTACATAATTTCAACTAATGCTATGCTGGACAGTGACACATAAAGAGATAAAATTAGACAAAAGCAAAGGAGTTTTCATATAGTTAAAAAAAAATTAAAATCCACAGACCACAAATAATTTAGATGTAACAGCAAAACATGTGAAATGCTGGGCCCAGACTTGAGTTTCTTACTCAGAAAGGACTGAATAAGAGAAGATTCTGGATTAGGCCCAACTTTACTAGAACCTAATGCCTTCATTCTGCTTAATTATACAGGAAATAGCAGCTTAAAAGGTGACCTGCAAAGGAAAATAAAATTAATTTTAAAAAAATAATAAAACCTCTTAATGATTACATGCTACAGGTAAATCCCAAAGGAGGACAAGTCTAGGTATGCCTGAGCAAACTGAGAGGGCCTTTTTGGAATTTCCCTTGTATCTCCCTTTCCTCTGCCATCCTCCTTTTGTAAATTTGCAGCAAGTCTTCCTTGTCTTGCTAGAAGGCCTCCTGGATGACACAGGTATACACAGAAAACATGTTCAGTGCCTCTTTGTAATGGGGAGGTTTATCCTGTCCAATTCTTCCAGATGTGTAAGGGCAAAGCCCTATACATACCCCACAGCAGGCTGAAGCTGTTTGGCAGGAGCCCTGTAGTAATGTAACATTTCCCCCCACACAAAACATATTCCCTTCTGGCTTCCCATTCATTCCAGAAATCATTCTTCCTTTTGATACCAAGTTCAGCTCTGCACAGCCCCAGCATCCTCTTTTGGTGAGCGTGAATGTGAGCAAACAGGTGTCCCTAAATACCCATTAATGTCAGAAGTGCTTAAGAGCAACCGACTGAAGCTCTCTGATGGCTGAGGAACATTTATGTGGGGCTTTCTACACACAGGCAGGAGGCAGAAACAGCTCCAGTATTCAAAGAAAAAGTTCTGTTTTCAACTAATGTGCACAACCCTCACCTCCACTTTTTGGGGTTCCCAAATCATCTTGTTAAAGGGAGAAAATGACGATGACTCCTTATTTCCTCTCCCAGCAAGACCCCTATAAATCCATTCCCCTGCAATGCCCATCTCAACATCTTCCACTATCACAAAGGAAGAGTTTCATTCTCCACGTTTCTACTGAGGTACTACTATTGTTAGGTATTTCTACAAACATACTACTATTGTTCAATAGACAATATTAAGACAGACACATAGATGTAATGGACTAAGTCCTCATGGACTTAGTTCCTTCACTGTTCACATTTACAGACTATTTCCTGTTTGGAAAAAAGACCCCAGCAAATCCTGTTAAAATATTATCAAGTCCTCTCAGTGGCATTTAACATTTTCTCTTAAATGTTTATAGTCCTCAATGCTCATCACACATCTAAAGTCACTCTAGCAAAAAGCAGATGACCTCAGGGGCAGGCCACTAGAGACATGGAAGGACTATGGAATCAGGGGAAAATGAAGCAACTGGAACAAGTAAATAAACAAGATAAATACGAGATGTAGCTAAAGGAGCTACAGGAGCTGAGGAGAATGAAGGAGGACAGTCAGGTACTCTCATTCATTCATTACCTTACGAATACAGCAAAATCACAATGCAGTGGATCCAGGTGAGGGCAATGCTACACCTACAATTAGTGGGATCTCAATTTCTACAGAGCCATTATTACGTAAAGAGCTCAACAATGTACACACAAAAAGGGCTACATTTGCATGAGTAATGAAAACATTTACTCCATTTGACAGGATTTAGTGAAAAGATAAAATAATTCCTATGCTTTGCAACAATATGCATGTTATTGGATAAAAGACTTTTCTTTATGCACAGAAGAAAAAAAGTTATACATTATAATGCTGATTTCTAGACCACCTTTCTCAGAAGCTTTGGATGTTTGAAAAGTTCTGAGGCATAATACTGGACAAAGATGTACCATTCTCCTTGTAACTGCTTATAGTCATAGTGTTACTAAGCTTTTCACCTAGATGAGGTAGGAAGAATTTTTAATGAATAACGAAGTTTGAAGTATTCTCCACATGAAGCAGAGAAGCATCACACTGCAAAATGCGTTGTCACACGCATGTGCCCAAAGCCCACTTGGGTATAACAAAACATAACTTCTCTAATTTGTCAGAATTCTTAGAATTCTTACAATTTGCCATATCTTCCATAATTTGTGAAGCACTAATTTTGCTAAGTATCCAAACACCCTGATATTTCCAGGTTAGATAATATTTCAATTTCAACTAAAAAAAGTGCCCCAAAACCCTTGTGTGGAAGATAAATAAAATAAAATATAAATATAAAATAATCTATTCCTTTTTATTATTAAAAAGAGTAACACTTTTTTTCCGCCAAATTCACAGTTCCTATTTTAAAATCTGATAAAATACTTACACTTGAAAATATTTTAAAACATTTGATATCTCAACTAAAAGGATAATGAAGACAATACAGAAATATAACCAATAATCCTCCTCCTAACTTGCATTTCATACTTAAGAGGGTTCAAGCACAGTAAAGGAAAATAACAGTTTCATGGTTATTTTTTTTCAAAATAAAAGAGCAATAATTAGAACACAGTACTGAGAACACAGTATTTGTCATTTTGTCCTTTATATAAAACAGCAAATCTAGCTTCAATTCCTGAAATCAATCAGTTTTAAACCACAGGAAAGGTCCTAGAAATATCAGAATCATAATAATGGTATAACTCAGTAAGGAGTTAATAGCATTAGAGTCACTGTGGGTTTTAAATATTTCTTTAAGTAAACAAAATGGAAAGTGGTTACTTACCCTATGGAAACTGATTCTTTAAGAAGTGCTGTCCGCACAGATCCCAGGTGAGCACGTACTCACACGGACAGGACCAAGTCCTCTGAAGTTATGTCCATCCAGGCTGTGCCTGTGAACCATCCCAGCCCTGCACAAGGCAAAGGACTCCCCAGCAGTGCCACGCTCTGCCCCCACTGCCCCACCTAGCACAGCCAGCAGCAGTGGCAGCTCTCACCTCTGCTCTTCACTCACACTGTGGCACAAACCCAATCGCCCACACCACTGCCGTCAACGCGCTGCTTTGGCAATCTCCCTCTCCCCTGCTGCTCCCAAACCTGTGCTCCCACCTAAGGGGTTTAGGTGCCGATGTGACTTGAACTGTCAAGGTTTACTGTGGCTCGTGAAAGGGAGCAGGGGCATGGGAGAGCAACACATCGGCAAGAGTTGATGTCCTAGCTGGAATTGTGGTGTGACATTTGGAAAGCTGAAACACCGACTGGCATCCTAGCTGAGGAAGAAAAGAGGATGAACAAATGCAACCCAAGGAAGCAAGGAGCTGCTCAGGGTGGTAATGGAGCAACCTAATCTCAGGATGCCCCAGTTCAGGTTTGTCAATAGTAAAGACCCATTCAGAGTAAAGGACAATAGATGACTTTTGGTGCCTCTACTGCCCATGTACCAGAAGAGCCACCATTACTGCAGCATAAGTAATGATTTTTCCTTTCTGTACCAGGTGACTAATAGCCTAAAAAGCACTGACAAGCAGTCACCTGACTAAAAAGTACTGACAAATGAAATCTGCTCTGCTGGAGCAAACAGGGAGCTGAGCTGGTGAAATCCTCAGCAAGAGACAGCTGATCTCATCATCGTAGCTCAGAAGAGCCAAAATAACTGTCAGGTATCACCTCCATTTGTAGAGAGCCAGTCATTGGAACAGGTTGCCCAGAGAAGCTGTGGATGACCCATCCTTGGAAGCATTCAAGGGGACAAGCTAGATGGAGCTTTCAGCAACTTGGTTTAGTGCAAGGTGTCCCTGCCCATGGCATGATGGCTGGTACTAGGTGATCTTTAAAGTCCCTTCCAACCCAAACTGTTCTATGACTCCAACTACAAACCTCACCGCCTTCAGCTGGGGCTCTTAAAATGGCACAAATATTGCCAGAGCTCCTAAAGATGAAGGAATCTAACCCCAGATTAAGGCAATCAAAGAAGGAGCACCATGTAGCCTTCTCTGGCTTTCCTTCTGCTGTGGGCTTACACACAATCCTCTCACCAGGCAGTTCCATTTTATGGGGGAGCAGATTTAATCCTCCTGCTGATTTAGCTGCTGGAAGGGGCTGAGGGCAGAAGTGGCAAAGTGCCTGCACTGCTCCAGGACAGCATGCTGGGACCTGCTGCCCTGCAAGGCTCAGACACTCTTCCTGGATCAACAAGGATCAACGTGCCTACTGCACACTTGTACAGGCCTCAGAGAGAGAGCAGGAGGTCTGACCGGCTCCATAGAAAAACATTCAAATTTTTTTTCAGCAGAAGCTTCAACTCAGAGTAGCTGCAGACAGCAGAAGATCCAACTTCCCACCTGTGGCTTTCAGAGGCCCCTCTTCGAGAGAATAAACTTTCCGTAAGGATCTCAGATGGAGAAGCTGATCCCACCAATGGAAACAATCAAGCAGGTAAGAAAAATCCATGCAAAGATGTTGAAGCATTGATGCTTCAACCTATTTAGGGATGCCTTTCTCCACATTGAATTAAAATCAAGTCTTCTGACTGATTCAGGGGTCTGCATCCTGGCTTGTGTTTGGCAGGCCATTTGATCTGAATTTATTTGAACAGCATGTCACTTTTAAAAGAGACAGTTGAGGGAGCCTGCTCCCCTTTGTTCATATTTAGAGAATCCTGACTTTGGTAGGAAGATGCTGATCCTCCCCCATTTGCTCTTAGCTGAATAAGGGTGGAGAGGGAAAGGGGCAATGAAGGTCTCTCTGTGGTTCTACATCTGGAAACTCAAGCTAAGGCATTGATGCTGGAG